TTTTTTTTGGTGGGGGTTGGTTTGTTTTGGGGGGGGGGGGTTGTTTTTCTAAAAAAAAAAAAAAAAATCAGTCAGTCAATATTGTCAGCAACCCCAGAGCAGCACATCTCTCTGATGGTACAGAGATCTGGTGTCCCATAGTCACTGCTCTAGTTGATACCACTTTCATGTGACCACTGTTTTTGTTACTCCACGGTTTACTGAGAATTGAGTTCCTCCAGATTTTTTTATCACACTATTAATATGGTCTACTACCCAGACAGACCAGACATTTTAGGGACTGGATATGCCAGTGCAGGTTCTCCATCTGCTTTGGTTAAAGGGATTGTGCCTACCTGCAGAAGTCATACTCGCTCTGTAACCTTACCTCCCTCAATGCCTCCCTCATCCCCACCCTCCGTGTGTGAATGTAGTTCCAAAAAATGATCACAAATACTGTGTCTCTGTCACCTCCATCTAAAATATGTATTGTTGTTTTACATGACATTTTGCTCAATATTTTCCTTCTGATAGTTTAACTGAAAACTCCCTTACCCTCCAGGCTAGGGGGAATTTGCTCTGCATATTCCCAGGGAGTACACAAGTCTGACACTTTAAGGGTAGCCCTCCTATCCATTACACTGCGTTGACGAAATTTTGCTATTTACAAAGGAGGTGCCATTTTCTTTTGTCTGCCATTTTAGCACTATGTCTTCATATTGACAGGGAAAATATTTCCATGCCTACTGCCTTGAAAACTATCTCACCTTACAGAAGGTAGAGCTGATGTACACAAACAACACAACTACCTTGTTTGCATTGCAGACTGTCCTGATGCATTCCCAAAGCCGTCCTCCAGTGCCCTGCTGTGCCTATTTATAATACCTAGACTCAGACAAAAGTCAGAAACGATTCCTGACTTAAAGTGCATGCAGCTGTTGCAAACGAGACTCGATTAAGAAACATTGTCACCTAGTGGCCAGAATAAGATGTATTTATTGTTGTTGATCTTATCCTTATAACAAGATCTATATAAAATATATGTATGTATCTCAGCATATCATTGCACCAGTGACTATTTCTGGTTAATACCATATGCCCACATCAGCTCTTCCCAGTTCAAAAGCTCTTTCGTAAACCATGTACATTTGCTAATCAAGCCAGAGCAGCAGCAGCTTGGCAATTTTGCAAAGAGAAGTTATGACAAGGAAACTGCTCCTCAGAAAAAGCAGTTCATAATGCCATACAGAGATTGTCCCATCAACCACCTCCCCTCTCGCTCCAGACTACCCAGAGCACCTCACCAGGAGGTAAGTACCCAGTCTCTCTGTTTGGAGAACAAGCGCCTTGCTCTTTGGCATTTCGGCTCATGATGCTCCCAGATGGCCTGCAGATTCGGAGGCAATTTCCTCCCCTCCCTTCCTAGACGAGGCAGCCTGGCAGCGAAGTGCTGAGTTCCTGACATTGGGGTTGTTGATGCCTCCTGAAGGAAGGCAGCTGCCCTCTGGCTACAACATTAAACCTATCAATCAGCCATCTTTCATCTCGTGAACTCCTTTGAATAGCCAAAGATGCTGTGCAATGCCATCATGTCACATCCCTCTTCGGCGCATATAGTCACATCTTGCTGTGTCAATATACAGCACCCTTATTCTGGGATATCCACTGCTTGTGCCTGGGTAGAGGGCTATGGATCAACTCGTTTCTCCCTCACCTGGTAGTTAATTTTGTACCCTGGAATCAACTGTGGGGAACAAAACCACCAGCTGCTGGATTCCTAAGCCTGTCCTAGGCCGCAGGCACTCAAAAGAGGTGGTGTTTTGCTCCACATTGCCAAGGTGAAGTGAGGCCGCCGATGTCAGCAGTGGCAGAGCTGGTTTGGGGGGTGGAAACGGGAGCCAACAGGGACCTGGGGGCTGCCCAGCCTGCTGCTCAGCCCCACTCCAGCAGCCGCCCTGGAGCCATCCCCTTCACTGGCTAAGCCCCATTTTCAGCACTGAGCCTGACACTTAGGAGTAAACACTTTGTTAAAAGTCATTCATTTCTACATGACTATATCATTCCAAAAAGTGGGATGCAAACTACGAAGGTCTTGTACTGATGGGTGGAGGAATAGCCATGCACATTCAGAAACTCTAGGCCTCTCCAACTGAATAAGTGGCTGACTTTCACCAGATTTACAGTCATCTCCTTTGCATTTTCCTCTAGACATGTACAAGTCAGGCATCTCTGTTCCTGGAGAGCAAGAGAGAACACAACTTTCTTTAAAAATAAATAAAAAAAATTTTAAAGCTTCTGAAAGATCTGTTCTGAATATTCTCTTCATATAGATTATCAGGTGTATTACTGAAAAATATTCCCATGCGGGACAGGCTTTGCTGCAAGGAGATCCTAGACTGTTCTAAGAGAAGAAACTTAATTGTATTAGCTGCACTTCTCGAGAGAGGACTGGTTAAGTGGCTCTCTGGCTCTGTGCATGAACTTGCAATATCCATTATTGTATACAACATACCTAAATAGCTGCAGCTTTTGGCAGATTGTTTGTAGTCTCTGCTCCACTCTACCAAACTTTCCTCCTTCCTTTTTTTCCCAGGTGTTACATTTCATGAGTTTCATCTGTCCACTTAGGAAAAAAAACTTCTCTAGGCCCTTAAATGGTGGAGCTTTGACAGACGCTCTTTGTGTTTGTTCTGTTTTATTGCCAGAGTTATTCACTTGTTCCTGCTTCTGAAATGTACCCAGCTACTTAAAAAGGCTTCATGCATAGATTTTCCAATGGATAATCTGGTTTAATTTGTTTCTAATGGAACAAAAGGGTAATTTCAGAAGAGATTTTGCACGTTTACACACTGAACTGCTGCTTGTTTTATTTGCTTTTTGATTTCATGGATTTATTTTTTTTTCCAGGTTGGCTGTCTTGGTTTGGAAACAGCATTGTGATTTTTGTCCTGTATAAACAAAGACATCTTCTGCAGCCCACTGACTACCTCACATTTAACTTGGCAGTATCAGATGCTAGTATCTCTGTGTTTGGTTATTCACGGGGGATCATTGAAATCTTCAATGTCTTCAGAGATGATGGATTCATTATCACATCGATATGGACTTGCCAGGTAAGAGTGGATTACACTTAATTAGACAAAATAGGTGCGGCTATTTCTGTGTATATGGTGTATATAAATAACTAGACAGGCACAAAAGAGTGAAAAGAAATACTGACTGACCTTTCAAATGGACAGTGTTCTCTGTTGTTACACCCATAAATCTATGCATTTGATCAGTGTTTGCCCAGTTTTCAGTGATTTTTTTTCTATCTATTCACAATAGTTCCTACTAGTTTGGGTTTTTTACTTCATGTCATAGCTCCCACTCACGTTGGAAAGCTAAGGTGTAGGCTGTGCTTGTCTTCAGCTCCCCTGAAGTCAACCTGGTTGTTGGCACTTCAACATTTGCCTTAAACCAATGTAGACTCGTACTTGACAAGGCATGTAGAGCAAAGCCTCTACACAGCACTTGGGTATACCCATATATTTTAGCACACAACTTCTTGTACTAAATCAGTCATAACTCTTCAATCTTACCCCTAAATTCTTGGTTGGTTTGTTGCCTGTGGTAGGATGAGTGACTTTTAACTTTATGGCACAGTCATCCCTGAACGTGGAGGCAGCTTTTTGTTGCAGAACTCAGAAAATGTTGTTATTGTTAATTCTGAAACATACCTGTGTAGACAGAATATAAATACATCCTATGGATAGACAGACACAGCCTGGCTCCCTGGTGCTTTCAGTAACATCTGTGAGAAAAATTATACTTAATGTGTTTGTTTCATGAGGGAATCAAAAATCTGAAAACGACAGCATAGCCTACGGCAAGGTGTAAGAAAGATCATGATGAAGGAAGAGAGAAAGAGAAATAATCCTCTTTTCTTGTTTTTTTTTGTTGTTGTTTTTTTTAATTTTTTTTTAAAAGAGGAAGTTGAACTATTGTGCAACATAGATGAAAGAACTTTAACAGCTCATGTCCCCTCCCTTTCAATACAAAGGTTCAGTTTACTCAGAAAGGAAGACTTCCCACAGAAGACTGATTAACCTAGGAGCTGTAGCTTGATCTAAAACATGATTATTTGCTTGTTTAAAATGTATGTCCATAGCTGTTTAGCAGAAAAAGATTTATCAAAATTAAGCTAATTGTTTCCTCAGCAAAATCCCACTATTTCTCTAATGAGAACACCTACAATTGCAATCTAAGGACTGTTGAGGAGAAATTTTGAGGACACCTCTTTTATTTTTTTTATTAATGGAAACCTTTGGAGTCATCAGATGAACAAAGATATACCTGGAAACTGTAAAATTCACACCCACACTCAGAATTAAACAGATTCCCGTTTTTCCCAGTTTCAAGGAAGGCTGGAGCTACGATTAAGACAGGAAAGGTGAAATCTGGATCTCCGGGTTCAGTTCTAGCTTTGCTGCAGACTTCCTATGTAAGACAGGGTAAGGCATCCAGTGTGAAATCCTGAGCCAAGACCTGTGGCATAACTTGACATTTACAAGCCAGCAGGCTGAAAGAGGTAACATTAAATGACACTTCTGCCTCCCCAGTTCAAGCTCTTCCAGAACCTCATCTATGCTGTGGCTCCTTTTTTGGGATGTAAAAACCAGCACACACAGGAAACAATGCAGCATGGCACACTGTGTCTGTACCTCTTGATTTGCATGGGAGTCTTTCTTCCACGATGCCTCTGCCTGGGAGTCTGTCTTTGGCTGACTTTGAGGTATTTCAAGTCTTGTTATGATGATCTGGCTTTTTTTTTTTCGATGTAAAGAGACTGGGATGGAGGTGTGCTTAATCTTGCTGTGCTTGAACTGCCTTTACAAGATGAGAAGTGGTCCATAACATTTTTAGGGTATCCAGATAGTTTGTTGGTCAGGGCGTGTTAAGTAATCTTATTTGGATCTCCTGGTTTTAAACAGCATTCATTTGTAAAATATGGATATCAAGCAAAGTTTTAAGGTATTGGGTGGGATTCAAAGATTTTTTTCAGGATATTAATAATGCATTGGCTTTTCTAAACACTCTGATTTGCAAAATATTAAAGTTTCTGCTTTGGTAATCTTCTGTCGGCTCTAAAAGTTAACATTTCTCATCATTTCAAATAGGAACTGATACTGTACCAATGCTAACTAAAAATTCATGGTAACCTGGAGAAGTCACTTTGTACTCTGAATGAATAGTTTGAATTGGTTGTGACTTGTTGAGTAGTTGAGCTGGTTGTGGCTTGTTGAAAGCAAATCATGTAGGATTCCTGTTTGCATCAAGATTTTGTTCTGTGTTGGGGGGGTCTCAAAAACATGCTTAAACCCTGACATGCATCTTCTTGATTATTAAGCTTGACAAAACAGAAGCCAGTGACGAAAGAGTAACTTATGGAAGTAGAGAGGCTGTTTTTAGGAAGAATATTGTGCAGAAATAGTGGGAAGATTCTGTGCATGAAAAAGATGTGAATGTTTCTGTGTGTTTTTGTGTGGAGAGCCAGCACAAAAGTCATTCTAAAAATGTTCAACGTTGAACAGCGTTAGGGTTTTGATTGATTTTTTTTTTTGGTATTTATAAAACGTGATGCATTCATAGTCCGACCAGAATGGGTCTCACATCTGGAACATGAGGAGTGAGGAGCTTGTTGCCAGGAAGGTAAAGCCCATGCTTTCTGTCATGGCTCTCTGAAGTCGGTGTTTCTTGTTGTCCTCACCGCACTCAAGCTCCTCTGCAAGTAGCTGGGATGACAATTTGGACTGTTTTGCACATGAACACGGCTCTTTCCTTAGCATGGCCCGTGTGTTTTCCCTGATTTGGTTTGTTTTGCTGAGTCCAGAGCACAGCCTTACTTGGCTTTCTGTTGTTGCCTGTTTCACTACACATTTGCTCCTACTTGATCAGTCAGCTTCTGCTGTCAGGTATGCTTAGGAAAACTTTATTTTCCCAAGCTAGCCTGTCATTTCTGTTTATGAAGAAATTTCATGAGCTCACCTTACTTAACCCACCTAACTATTCTTCCTGCCTCTGGCTCGGGCCTCCTTCTGTGCCCTCGGATAATATTTTTCAAAATTAAGGTTCACCATTCTTGGCTGCCCCAGTTAGAGGGATTGGGGAGAAGACAGACAGATGCTACTTCTCTTTCAAAACAGCCTAGTCTGTGAAAACTCTCTGTAACAAAAGATGCATCTCCAGCTAAAAAGACCATCTTGCGGCATACCTGCTGAATGGGACAGATACGTGTGCTCCTCCTCTGTATGGAAGAAACACCACTATTCTTCTCTATGCCAAACATTATTTTTCTTTTTGGAGGTCTGACAGAGCTCTTCTCTCAGGAATGAGGTCGCATGGTAGGTCTGCATCTAAATGCTGCCCCTGCTGAATGCTGTGTATGGATATGGTTTTCCAAGGGTGGCTTTTGGACTCTGCTTTCACTTCATGTTTATCCCTTCCCTGCTCTACCACTGTGTCTTAGTCCTGATCTGGACAGAGAGAGGACAGTCAGTCTCTAGCACATTCATTTTTTAGCCTCTGGTAATATTATCAGTAAGTAAACTAGTTCATATAGTAAAGTTCAGGTCAGGGAATGTAAGCCAGTGACTAAGAGCCATCTGCTCCCCCGTTGCCCATATTTCTAGTGAAAAGCTACCTCAGGATATATTTTTGTCCTTCCCATATGTTTTTTATTTGCATGTTCTGTTAAATTCTAAGTTGCACTGAAACCTGTAAATAACATTGTGTGCCAATGTTCTTACATGTAGGGAGTAGAGAAATATTAATTCTCTGCAGGTAAACACCACAGTTTCTTCTAAACCTTATTAATCAACCAGCAGAAAGTTTTTCTTTTATCTGTTAATCATGTGGTGAACACCAAAGATGCAGGCTTCAGGAAGCCTCTAAATATAGGGGAAGGATTATAACCTATCTGATCCCCATAGGTGCCTTGCAGTCATGTCAGAAGCCAAGGATGGGCTGTGGGGTGCCTTAGAATTTGAAATCCTTCATAATCCTTGTACTTCAGTTTAAACTTTTTTCCACTAATTCACTCTTCTAATCTCTTTTTTTTTTTTTTTTTTGAGAATACAGTTTGGTTATTTTGACATTAATTTTATAATTAAAAATTTTACTACGAGGGTCAAGAAAATTGACTGTTCTTATCATGTGTTCATTCTGTTGATATAGGCTTCTTTTAAAAAACATTACTTAATTTTGACTGTTTCTTATGTATAAGAAGTATCTCGGCTGTGCGCAACAGAGCACGAGGTAGTTATCTCCAGGTCACGGTACCGTCACAGACACACCCATTGCCACCGCCGTGCTGACTGACGCTATTATCACAGATGCACTCACCTCAGTATCAGTCTAGGTATCCCCGGTCCATCTGGACAGCCAGGTGGTGCCAGAGCATCCCCAGCAGATCCAGCTCTACACAGAAACAGCCTCAGGAGGAACAAAAAAAAAAATACGTTCAGCATTGAGGTATTAGTGAGCATGACAGTAGCCTGCCTGACAGGATTCAGCCCACAGTACCTCTGTCCCTGCAGCCTGCTCTCGCCGTCCCACCAAGGGCCAGCCTGGAAGGGCCTGCCCTCACCCTTTTTTCTTTGCTGAAGCTTCTTTGTGTTGTGTGGAATAATAAAGGCACAAAGGGGAGCTGGAGAGAGAGAGATAACTGTCTCACCCTCTGGTTGGGTTTGCTACATAGTAGTGAGGAAACCTGGTTTTGAGTCCTGCACTGCTTAATGCCTTGATGTTTTATACATTATTTCTGACGGGCATACCCTGGACAGAAACAACTGGCAATGGAGTGAGCAGCAGTGAGCCCCACATTGCATGCAGGTATTGTTTTACTCTGTTATCCCTAATTCATCTGTGCACAGTTTGCCTGACAGCACCAGACCTGTGGTATAGGTACATCCTGAAAGGCCATGGTGTGACCGGGAAGTCCAAAATTTTCTAGAAGTGCCAGATTTAGTGTGCGTGCATTGAGGAGGACGTGACCCATGGAAATGTCTGGGGTTTCTTGCACTTCAACGGGCTTTTCCGAATTGTGGTGGTGTAGCTGATCAAGTTGCCAGCT